AATGGACAGCTGGAGAAAAGCTGTGCCATTTAGAGTTCGCCGATGATATCGTCTGTCTGTTCGAATGTATGGAGGACGCGCAAGTGCAGTGTGTGCTTTGCACCTTCAAAATGCAAAGTGATGCTGCAGGATTGGGTTTCGTCTACTCCCGCTCTGAAACTAAATGGTCAGGATTTAGTTATGGTGGATTACTTATCCTATTTAGGTAGCTGCATGACCAACGACGGTAGTAGAGAAAAAGAGATAAACACCCGTATTTCCAAGGCTTGAGCAGCATACGCAGGACTGAAACACCTTTGGCGTAGACGGGACGTTTCACTGAAGCCGAAAGGTCGTATATATTGTGCTAGCGTTCGTTTAGTCTTTACATTTACGAGTAGAAGATATCCGTCGAATAGAAGTTTTCGATTATTGGTGTTTACGCAGTTTAGCCCATGTTGGATGGAGCGAACGGGTTAGTAAAGTGGGGGTAAACCGTCGTGTGTTTGGGAGTCTGTCAGGTATAAACCTGCCGGCACACGGAATTCAGATTACCAGACTTCGCTGGCTAGGGCACGTATTGCGCTTTCCCAACTGTCGTCTGCCGCACCGCGCCTTATTTGCTGTAGCTAATCCGGGCTGGAGGAAATCGCGTGGAGGTCAACAGATGACGTGGAGACGAGGCATGAATAAATGTACAGAGCCATTGGGTAGAGCAAGTGTCTCTCGCCTTCCAGGGTGGGGTCCGAAAGACTCTACAACTGGTTGGTTGGTTAGAGACATTGAAGGAAATGGCAGCAAACCGGCAGCAGTGGCGTTCTTGTTGTCCTTTCTCATTAGGTCAGAATGCTTGAAACGGTATGTATGCAGAGTTTGATTGCGTACTCTCCCTCCCTCAAAATAGGTCCAATCCCTGTCCACCTTAAATTTTACCACTACCCTTGTGTATATTGCGAGTTTGGCAGCGATCAGTGAAGTTCGCTTCACTGTATTTTGCTGTACGATGATGATGATGATGAGGTCAAAGTTTCAGGTGATTGATTAAAAAATAATATTAGCTGACGGGAAACAGAGGTAACCAGGGGCAACGTCACCTACTATTCATAACTACAGTCTGTTTTCCCAGTTCATGCAAACACCGTGAGCGGTTGTTTGTGGTGTGAAATACCGGTTATCCTGTTGGTTCACCGCATGGTGATATTCAGTACCCCTTGAGCGACCTGTCCGTAGTTCCGCTTCGCAGATGTGAGCGTGACAAATAGGCTTATCAAAAGCGTCCGGGAACAAATGGGAAAGGTTTGTCTTCAATTCATGTTAAGAGGCATCTGAAACGACCACAATTGGCGGTTTCGAATGGATATTTGCCTTGGCTTTTCACCAGCGAAAAACTGTTAAAGATCGTGTGACCATGTATATTTGGGATATGCACTGATTACGTCTGGTATTAGTTAATGGCGTTGATAAATCTGTGAAATGACAGATAGTGGCTCATAATACCCAAGAACGGTTATTTCAGTTTCAGACCGATAAAGGTTGGGAAAAGTAGAGTGGATGCATGAGCGCTATTGGTAACGAAGCTCAACCATATCACTCTAACCAGCGATTAATCCGATTTTGTCTAACCCAGTCATTGTTTGCCCAGTTGGCTCATCAGACTACGACAATGCGGTGCGGACAGCGGTGTTTCAATACCAATACCCTTTGCTCTGTTTCCGTAACGACCATGTATTTAAACAATGCAGGAGAACTGAACCGACAGCCGCAACATACATTCTACCTATCACAGATAAGCAAGTGTCGCAGCGATGTCACCGAATGAACAATGGTGCTCATGCGTCCACTCAATTGATTTGTACATTGAGTCTAATTGAGATCTGTATCGTTACGCTGGCGCTACTCACAGATTTATAATTCTTCTTTTTATCAGTTCATCCACATTGGTGGTCAAAAGATAGCAATCAAAGCCGACACATTAAAGTGCAAGGTTAACGGATTAACAAACTAAATTCGTATGGGATGGAATCGTCGATAGTGATATCTTCGAGATAAGTAGCCGTTTTATCAATCCTCGTTAGTAAGGTATCGATGGTCAAAAACGGGAGTAATCTGGGAATAAAATGGTTGAAGAGTGAAACAAAGCAACCAGCGATGTGTATTGATTCTTGCTCAGGCGCCGATTGAGTCTATTTAATTTGAGGCCGCTGGTATCCAAAAGTCAATCAAGAAATTGCCGATCGTCTCTCCTA